ATCTTGTATCAAAGTTGCGATATAAAAGGAGAAGAATGTGATCCACATACCAGGATAGTATCGTTCACAAATAAAGCTAGACCAACTAATAACCCATCGGCTCCACAGTTACAACGTGCACCATATTTACTTGTCTTTGTACCCTCTTAACCATGCTATCTCTACTTTTTTGTTTCACTTAAGAAAATCATACTTGGAGAGTGAAGACTCATTGTCACCTTCAAAAAGGAAATTGTAAAGGATCCTGCCAGGCCTCAACAATTCCACACCATAGCCCTCATTTTGAAGAGGAAATCCATAATTCTCTGCTCAAATAAGCATTCCTGAAATGTGAAAGGCAAGAAGGACAAAAGGATTTTGATAAAATTTGAAACATACCGGGAAAGAGGCGATGGTCTTTGACATAACTATATGAGACTTTGAATTCCCATACACAAAAGAATATTTGGATAGCCCATTGGTAGAAAGATTACTTAATACGCCCTAAATCCACGTGACTAGAATTCGACTACATGTGTTAATCAAATCCACACCTCGACCGCGAAAACAATTTGTACTTTTTTTATACATTTTATAAGAAAAATAAATGTGTTTTTCCATGTATGTCATGTACATTTCTGTTGTTACAACTCAATACAACCATCGGTCTAGGAAGCCTCTCTATGATAATTGAATATAAATATAAACTATTAAGACAATTTCTGACAAAAAGAAAAAAAAAACATATACTAGCTAACATAAAATAAAAGTTGTTCCTAAACATATATCTCAAGAAAAGAGTAACTTAGCCTTGTCCTCTAATTAATTGCCACGCCTCATCCTTAAATATGGAAAATAGAGGGTCCCTTAAAGAGGGTTCAGTAGACCATCAAAATACTCAAATAAGTATTATTGACTCCGGTTTACTAAAAGATCCGACTTTTAGTACTGTTATTACCCTACTAAGAGATGGAACTAACTAAGATCGACTGAAAAGGAGGCTCGACTCATAGGGAGAGTTGTGGATGTGATTCTAAGAGCCTTACAAGGATGAATACCATAAAGAAACACAACAAAGTGTCAACCAACTTTGTTAGGAAATCAATACAAGTATTATTTGACGTAGAATAAACTGCATTAAATGTCACATAATAATTTATTTTATATTTGAGTCGCGGAGGATCTAGTGTAAATTTGATTCAACTCAACCGTACATACTTTCAATTCCATTCACAAGATAATTTAAAGAAAATCATCAAATCCCATTTAAATTTAATTGAATCATAAGAATCATCTAAACGTTTTAAAATCTTTTGTACCTTTATTGGGGAGTAATATACTATTACCAACACAATATCCAAGGCCAAATAGGTGATCAACTTTGTGACAAATATCATAGAACCTACTAGCTCATGTTCAAGTCATCTTCGCGTAGTGTTGCACGAATCGACTCAACCTTATTAGGTAGAGTCAAAGTATACACCGACAGGTGTAGTTTCAAGATAACGATCAAAATTTATCTGAAGTCAATCTATATAAACATGACTAACTCCCAAAATATTTAAATATGTCAAAAACAAATTTATGCCCTAGTAGCTACTTATAGTAAATCATGGCGTTCATAACCAATCAAACTCATTTTGATAGAATCAAATGTAAATTTTTTCCTCAAGTTATCAAAGCATATGTCAAATGAAGATTTAATACTTAAAATAGTTAACTTTCAAATATTTGTCTCTCAGAGATGTGATATTTCTAATGATCACTCAACTTTAGGATTATGTATAGTAAAGTCATCGGATTTTATTTTGTATCAATAAAATTACTCAACTTAGACATTTGAGATATCATTATTTTCTAAATAGTTTTTTTTAATCCCTCTTTTAAAGGGTTAGTGGTTTTTTTTCTCCGAAACAAACCACCTTTTATTATTGCATCAACAAAATACATAGTCTAAATATATCTTTTGCATCCTGGATGATCAAACTTGATAAAATCTTCTCCCAAGATATTTCCTTCGATGATCTGATTAAATCTTCACTCTCTTTCATCCCTTAATGATAGAAGATTCAAAATATTTCCCAATAGCAATTGCTTCAGCACGCATGAGGCAGGTTCCCAACGCTATCCATAGCCACAATACCGATACTTGCCCTTCCATCGTCATTCTTCAATCCTGCATCTGTAAACAATAAAATGTCATCTTGCAATTTTGTTACTTTAATCACAAGATAATTTATTGAGGAACTAGACGAAATACATTTTTTTAGTAACTCTTTATACTCTTTATAATCAAACATATATGTAGAAACAATATCTCTTGGTTCTAACCTTTCTTGATCAAACAACCAACTATTTGCCAAATAATGTTAGCGCTAAAGTTTAACAAGTCAATAAATTCAGGAAAAGATTTGGTAATTAAGAACAAGTCATACCATCAGATTGAAAAATCAGTAATATTTCCTATATCAGGCAAATTTATAGAACAATGCCTCCACTACAAGTTGAGACCAAGGTTTGAATAACATAGGTTCTATATCTTCAGGTCCAAAAACACAAATCTTACAAGTCTCATCTACATTGTGTTGGTCTTTTTGCCAAATTACTATGGATAGGTAAAGAGTCAAGTACATATTTTCTCAAAAAGTGTTTAAGCTTATTTTCAAGTCCCAACTTCCACAAGAAGTCCCAAAAGAATTTTGAAAAAAGAGTGACAACTCACTTGAGCTTTCGAGTTTGTCAATGTCTTACCGATCAAATCCTTTGTGATGTAGTAACCTGACTTAACTTCATAGTTTCCTATTTTTGTATAGTGCCATATTAACCTATCATTATAACATGCAATAGAAATCAGGATAGACAATATATTACTATCATCTTCTAGTTCAAACAATGGATTTATCTCTTGTATTTCCCATGAGTGCATATTCTTATCAATTGAACCATCTACTAAATCTAAATTTCTATGCCCATGGATACTTTTAGGGATGAAACCATTATTATTTGGTATCCGTGGGTCGATCAAAAAATTAATATTTTTTCAATCATAAATCCTCCTTCTTAATCCTTTAGTCAAAAGATCTTTCCCATATCCAAGAACCAGAAGATGATGTTGAAGCTTTAAGAAAGGTGAGTTTGGAAAATATTTGCTTTTAAGAACTCTTGCTATTAGAAGTCGCCAAGCTTGCTTAGCAATAGCGCCATATCAAAAGTTTTTAGATTGCTAAATTGATCTAGAATCATAATCTATCCCATTTCTCTTAATGCATCTTTTCTTTCTCCTACCACCTTGCAGCCTAAGTTGACTCTTTCACAAAATGTTGGACCTTCCTCATCGATGACTACTCACAAGGATATCAACAATTACTACAATTCCCTGATCAGGGCAACATGGAGAAAAAACTGAGTCTGTGGTTGATGAAAGCTTACAAAAACCAATTTCGTGCAGCTTGACACCTTGTATTTTCTTTAATAAACCTAAGGGATGCCGTAAAGGATTCTCTTGTCACGTTCTGCATGATATATCTGGTAAAAAGAGGTCTGGGAGGACATCAGAAGATCAGGATTCAAAGAGACTGAAGTAAAGTATGGAACATTAATATGGCATGACTCAAAGAGGTTTTTTTTAAAATACAGGGAACAAGTGACAAAGGCAGTTGCGCAACTATTTAAACAAAAGCACTCATCCCTTGAGACGCGGACTTTTAAAAAATTAGAATCTGATTTTGGCTTGAAAAGAAATTTTCCTTTGAATTTTGATGAAGCATTGTTTCGCCTTGACAATATTTCTATTCCGATAAATCATTGTTTTCCTCTCTTAATTGCAATCGCAGTATGGCATCGGCTATAGCCGTCCCCACTTTAAAAACTAAAACTTATGTACTGTTGATATTCAATAATGAATTCAAGATGTTAATTTGAATTTTAATCTGATTCAACGGGAATCAATAAGGTATGGAAGCATTTGATAGAACAAAGTGTATTAAATTATTTCAAGCCAGTGAAAATAGTACTAGCAAATAATAACAATAATGAGATGATTACATTACCCTTAAATATAAGCGAGTACGAGAGGGACGAACATGGAATCATATAGTAGTTCAAAAAGCATTCTAAAGTATAAAGTAATATTTTGTTCTGTCTTGCCCAATTTTACAAGCCATGGTCCTTTTATATACATGTGTAAGAAACTGAAATCATCTCTTCTCTTTGATAGTTTGATTTTCTATTACTTTCTCTTCCGAGTCTTGGAATTGGTAAGCCTTGTTAACGTTTTTTTTGCATCTGTTTTTCTCTTCAGTGTTTATCATTCAATCTCAAATTCAGTTCTTCAGTGTTATTTATTAGATTATTTTTATTTTGGTAGGATTTTGTTCTTGCATGTTCCTAATTTGGCTTAATTCATACTCATAGAAGTTTGATAATTGTTGTTCGTTCCCCTTCTTATTCTTCTCACTTCTATCTTTTTTTTCCTTGGCAAGTTTACGTTTTTGATAGCCACAATCTGTTAGGTATTCTGTTTCTTCCTCTTTTATTGTGCATTCTCCGCTTTTTGAGTAGTTTACTGTAGAATTTTGTAATTTCATGTTTCTAATTGGGTTTTATTTACTCATGCATGTTTCAAAATTGTTTTTTCCCTTGATATTCCTCTCGCTATTTTCTGCTCTAGCAGGGCTTCTCACAATCGATTTTTGATTTTATTGTTTTTACCCTCTTTTCTTCATGATAGACACCTCTAATTTTTTTTTTAGCTTTTTCTAATTAATGTGAATCTTGATATGTTACTGAAGATGATCCTTTTGGGGGATGGGAGGAACTCGAAAAAAAAAGGACCTATACATGTTCTTCTGGAGCATTGACTGACCATAAAATTATATGTGATAATTTAAAATTAAATATGCAAAATACATATAAATTGAAAACTCCAAATATTAGTAGGACCTATTTGATAGACACGACAAAGTGAAGATACATAGAAAGATTTTTAGGGACGGTTAAGATTAAAGAAATGAAATGATGCCATGGCGAAACATGTTGATTCTAAAGTTGGAAAGAGTAGTGTAAAGAGTCACATGATGCTGGTGAGGAATATTAAGGATTTGCTTGAGGAACTCGACCAAGTTTTTGCTCATGGAGGAAATGAAAGCAAAAATTGTTGTGTTTGGATCTTCAAGCACAGGTCCGGAACTCGAACCATTCATACCATCAAAAACAAAAAAAGGTGATCTTCTTCACTAACTACGGTTAAAATTTGGTTCTTTCACCTGACTTTTGATTTAATATTGATTGAAATATAATGTCACTTAGATATGCTACTTTCCCCATTGTCTTGAATGTGCTTATGTTGTCCAATATAAAAAGATATCTTCCTCATTTTGAAATTTTTAGTACTTAAAAAGACAAATAAGTTTGGATTCTCAAATGAATGATATAGTCTATCTCGGCTAGGTAGCACAGACTCTTCCCTAAGTCTCATCTACATTGTGTAAGTCTTTTTGCTAAATTACTATGGATGGGTAAAGAGTCAAGTACATATTTTCTCAAAAAGTGTTTAAGCTTATTTTTAACTCCCAACTTCCACGAGAAGTCCCAAAAGCATTTTGGAAAAAGAGTGACTACTCACTTGAGCTTTGGAGTTTGTCAATGTCTTACCGATCAAATCCTTTGCGATGTAGTAACCTTACTTAACTTCAAAGTTTCCTATTTTTGTATAGTGACATATTAACCTATCGTTATAACCTGCAATGAAAAATAAAAAAAAGTGTAAATCGAAAACCGAAATCGAAATTTTGAAAAAATTTGTTCAGTTCGGTGTTTCTATTTTTTCGGTGTTTATGCCCACCCCTACCGCCTAGCTTGCTTAGCTAATAGATCCATATTAAAAGTTTTTAGATAGCTAAATTGATCTAGAATCATAATCTATCCCATTTCTCATAATGTACAATTTAGAATCATAATCTATCCCATTTCTCATAATGCATCTTTTTTTTTTCTCCTCTGTTTGTCCCACCAAAAATTTGAAAAGAGGGATGTAATTTTCTTACACAGCAGGGAATTTTTTTCTTCAAATTTCTCCTTAACGAGTTTTTATAATTTGCCACTGAACAGGTAAAACTTATCGAAAAGAGGATTGCCAATCAGAAGTTAGGAGCAGATCTCAACAACATACACATCAAAGCATCAACGGATCATCATCTAAAAGAAGAGATTGCTTGAAGAAGTCAGAAGAGAGACTTTCTTCAAAATATTTGGCTATATGGAAATGCCCTCCCAAGGTAATCTTAGATTAGATGATAGGAATTTCCTTTATTTGATTAGTTTATGTACACATTGTTGTGATAACCCCATTAACTGTTGTTATTTGTAGTTCCAGTTAAATGAGAAATGGCTAGTGGATGATGGTGAGGAGAGTCAAGACGCTAGTAAGCAGGAGAATAGGAAAATGAGGGTGATTGAGGCAGTTTTCCCTAACAAGTTTGCAATTCCTCCAAAGTAACTAATTTTTGGATTATTTTTTAAATGTTTCGTAGCTTTCGTTGTCTTAATTTTACTTGGTTTTAATCTGTGAATATTTTTCTTTCTTTTTTAACAGTTCTTACAACTTGTCTAACCTGGAACAAGGTTATGATGATAGTCAAACTCAAATAGTCAGAACCATTTCTATAGAAGAAGAAGCACCATTGCATGATTTGACAGTTCTTATAGCCACAGTTGTAGCTGCACTTCAAGAGCAGGGTAGTCTGATTGATGCCAATTTATTTGTTAGGCTTCTCCTCAACCGGATGAATGAACGTGGCATGGCTACCAATGTTGTTTCTCTCAATGCTGCGCATGCAGAATCTGCAAAATCTGTGCCCTTGACAATGACTAAGCCTAACATTAGAGAGAGTAAGTCAATAATCTATTCAACTTCAGAGCTTGATCTCAAAAATATCAAGAAATCATTAGCAAATATGGTGTACATTACAATGCATGAGGAGAAATTTCTGAGTTGGTTTCCAGATATGGTCCTATCACCTTGCAGCCTGAGTTGACTCTTTCACCAAATGTTGGCCCTTCCTCCAAGATGAATACTCACAAAGATATCAACAATTACTGCAATTCTCTGATCAAGCAACGTGGAGAAAAAACTGAGTCTATGGTTGATGAAAGCTTACAAAAACCAATTTCGTGCAGCAGGACACCTTGTATTTTCTTTAATAAACCTAAGGGATGTCGTAAAGGATTCTCTTGTCATTTCCTGCATGATATATCTGGTAAAAAGAGGTTTGGGAAGACATCAGCAGATCGGGATTCAAAGAGACTGAAGTAAAGTGGGGAACATAAATATGACATGACTCAAAAAGGCTTTTTTTGAGAATACAGGGAACAAGTGACAAAGGCAGTTGCGCAGCTGTTTAAACAAAAGCACTCACTCCTTGAGACGTAGACTTTTAACACATTAGAATCAGATTTTGGCTTGAAAGGAAATTTTCCTTAGAATTTTGATGAAGCATTTTTTGCATTGACAATATTTCTATTCCGATAAATCATTGTTTTGCTCTCTTAATTGCAATCGTAGTACGGCATCGGCTATAGCCGTCCCCACTTTGAAAATTAAAACTGATGTATTGTTGATATTCAATAATTAATTCAAGATGTTAATTTGAATTTAATCTGATTCAACGGGAATCGATATGGTATGGAAGCATTTGTTAGAACAAAATGTATTAAATTCTTTCAAGCCAGTGAAAATTGTACTAGCGTATAATAACAATAATGAGATGATTACATTACCCTTAAATATAAGCGAGTAAGAGAGGGACGAACATGGCATCATATAGTAGTACAAAAAGCATTCTAAAGTATACCGTGAATGCTTTAATATTTTGCTCTGTCTAGACCAATTTTACTAGCCATAGTCCTTTTATATACATGTGTAAGAAACTGAAATCATCTCTTCTCTATGATAGTTTGATTTTCTATTACTTTATCTTCTGAGTCCTGGAATAGGTAAGCCTTTTTAACTTTTTTTTTCATTTTTTTCTCTTCAATGTTTATCCCTCAATCTCAAATTCAGTTCTTCAGTGTTATTTATTAGATTATTTTTATTCTGGTAGGATTTTGTTCTTGCTTGTTCCTAATTTAGTTTAATTTATACTCATAGATGCTTGATAATTGTTGTTCGTCCCGTTCTTATTCTTCTCACTTCTATCTTTTTTTTTCCTTGGCAAGTTACGTTTTTGATAGTTACAATCTGTTAGGTATTTAATTTCTGCTCTTTTATTGTGCATTCTCCGCTTTTTGAGTAGTTTATTGTAGAATTTTGTAATTTCATGTTTCTAATTGAATTTTATTTACTCATGCATGTTTAAAAATTGTTTTTCCCTTGATATTCCTCTCGCTATTTTCTTCTCTGGCAGGGCTTCTCATAATCGATATTGTATTTTATTGTTTTTAACCTCTTTTCTTCATGATAGACACCTCTAAAATTTTTTTATCTTTTTCTAATCAATGTGAATCTTGATATGTTACTGAAGATGATCCTTTTGGGGGAGGGGAGGAACTGGAAAAAAGGACCTATACATGTTCTTCTGGAGCATTGACTGACCATAAAATTGTATGTTTTAAGTAAAAATTAAATATGCAAAATACAAATAAATAGAGAACTTCCAAATACTAGTAGGACCTATATGATAGACACGACAAAGTGAAGATATATAGAAAGATTTTTAAAGGATGGTTAAGATTCAAGAAATGAAATGATGCCATGTCGGAACATGTTGATTCTAGAGTTGGAAAGAGTAGTGAAAAGAGTCACATGATGCTGGTAAGGGATATCCAAGGTTTTCCAGAGGAACTCCACCAAGTTGTTACTCATGGATGAAATGAATGCAAAAGTTGTTCTATTTGGATCTTCAAGCGCAGGTCTGAAACTTGAAACATTCATACCATCAAAAAGAACAAAAGGCGAGTCTTCTTAACTAACTATGGTTAAAATTTGGTTACTTCCCCTGACTTTTGAATTAATATTGACTGAAATATAATGTCACTTAGATTTGCTACTTTCCCCATTGTCTTGAATGTGCTTATGTTGTCCAATAGAAAAACATATCTTCCTCATTTAGAAAATTTTAGTTCTTAAAAAGACAAATAAGTTTGGGCTCTCAGATGAATGATATAGTCTCTCTCATCTAGGTTGCACGGTCTCTTCCCTTACGTTGACACATCCATGTCGAATTCTTCAAAAATACATTACTTTTGAAGAATTCAATATAGGCACTCGGTAGTGAAAACCATCAATAGGAACTATATGGACTGAACTAACAAAGATGGTACGTTGGTTATTCAAATTTCGTTGTTGCCTCAACGTTCTAGATATACAGGTAAATTTATATGCGCCTTCTGTTAGATTACCAGAAACAACTTTAGCTTTAACCTCACGATATCAGTTGATTATATTCGAATTTGATATTTCATGTTTTTGTATTATTGTAGAGAATTATAAGAGGCTACTAGGACTCTATGTATGTTGTTATGATCAGTGAGGTCTGTCAGTTTATAAGTTATTTTCTATTTACCTTGATGTGTGAAATCCAATATCCATTTGCATGAAATCTCAGCTACTACTTCTCTCTCACTTTCACACACAGATTTTTTGTGTTTACTAATTGGGGATATGATGAGATCTCGAGAAAAGCCATGCTTTTCCACTCTGATAATGATTCTGAGCTCTTAAAAAATTCATTTGCATATGAGAAGTAATACAAGTGAGCATATATATATATATATATATATATATATATATATATATATATATATTGTTACTACAAAACACATGTTATTCTATTTTATTAGGCTCCTGCTAAAACGAACACTTGTTAGTTTCTTTAATACAAAGTTTATACAGTTTCATTTTATTTGAAAAAATAGAGTAAAGGACGAGCTTGCAAGTTGCAAATAAATAAACAAAAAGTATATGGAAAAATGCACACTTATCATGATCTTCAGTTTCCTGGAATTAGGTTTTGCATATGTAGAAATTTTTACAAATAAGATATAATGTATTGTCGGTATTCCTATTATCCTATAATCGTGGAATTAAAAAGTTGTAATATTTAGACGTAAAGCAGGGTTATAATTATGTCAACTTAAAGAAAGCACAAGAGTGGACAAGCTAAGGCAAAACTCAACATGTTCTCGGGGTCACTATAAACCTTTAGTCTGCTTCAGCTGGATAATGTACAAAATTAAACTTGTTTGAGTATACATTCAAGGTGTTTGACAATGTGTCCAAGTTATTATATTTGGAATAGTCTTACTCCTTTTTATAGCATACCAAGAAAATCTTTAAAACAACTAATGATCGTGCCTCAGTCAATAGCTCGAGTGATAGACCAGGGCTATTGTCTCAGGTGAGCAGTGTTGTCATGCTCCGAGCCACCCCCGAGACGCAAACATGGAACGTAGGACCGCAAGTGATCCAAGCTAACCCTGCTGGCATGATCATGAGCAAACTAAAGTTAGTAAAGTGATGCGGAAGCTAAATCATAACTTATAATGCAAAGATGGAGAATACTCATATGCTAAAACTGATATATATGAAAAAAAATGAGTTTAATACAAAGGAAATATTAACTCAATACTAAGTTGAATCTAACTATGTCAGAAATAAGACTCTAAACTAGACTAGAAATACGGGGACAAGCCCTAGCTAGATCTAGCAAAAACTGAAACTAAATGACTAAAGACTGAAATAAAATTCATGACTATTGTCCTCGGAGAATGAGGACTCACCACTAAATCTGCTGAACTGAAGATTGAAAATCGATCTATGCGTGATCTGGATGCTGAGAACCTAAACCTACATCACAAGAAGATGTACCACAGGTATGTGTAAAGGTACTGAATATGTAGAATAGAGTAAAGATGAAATAAAACATAACTGAACAAGCATAATAGCAAGTATAAAAATTTGACATGATAAACAGAATTCTAAGCTAACTAGATGCAATGACCAATTTATAACATGCTGAAACTGAATACTTAATATACTGATAATTGGTCAATGTAAAGAGTTAAACTGAACTGCGGGAGCTACTAATAACCGATAATATAACAACATGAAATAAATATGGCGTCCGATATATACGCCCCATCGAGAGGACCCAGTATACCTTGCCAGAGGTATAAAGGAATGCTGGCGTGATCACTCAACTGATTGCCCACAGAGGGGACTTACAACCTACTTGTCTAGTAGTTTTGGGACTAATTGGGTACGCTGAACCCTATTTCAGCTCGATATTATGCTACTCTCAATGAATTCTGTAAATTAATTGATTATGTCTGAGTTTCTGTAAATACTGGATAGCTCTAAACTGAACATGCAAACTGAGAATGCAACAATTTATCTGGTAATTATGCATTTAAAACTTAGGCATATATATGTGAAAGGTCTGAAATATCTGACCTAGCATGTGTAATTAAAGAACTAAAGAACTACTTAGCTAGGGTTCTGAAATTGATGCAATAAACTAAATAATAACAAGTTAATCTGATTTGAAACATATAACTAATAATAACATGTTAATCTGATTTGGAACATTTAACTAATAAGTTCATGAAGTTCTCGTGAAGTTCTAGAAACCCTAGATCTAATCATGACATGTGAATAAAAAATCTGACTAAAAACGAGGGACCCAATGGGTGAAAGGAACCCACTAGTGAAATCCCACATGCCTGGTGATGAAATCCACGGAAAAATACCTAATTTTTGGGCTAGAACTGCTGGAGCTTGTGGCCTTCTTGAACTAGGGTTGCTGAGTTTTTTTTCCTTTTTTGCTTCTAATTTTCTAAGTTTTCATTCAACGATTTGACTTAGATATGTTTTAGTTATGTTTCTAGGCTTAAACTAAATAAAATCTTATGATTTTAGGGTCAAAACGACGCAACTTAGTGTTTAAACGATGGAAAAAGACCAAAAGACTCCTGGTTAAGTTGCTGTTGGATAAACGATGGCCAGGACTAACGTTCCGTCGTCTGATAAGAGTTATGACCATTTGAAGTTGACCCAACTACATTTCCCCTTAACTGTTTGCAAATTTTCCACATACGGTCAGACCTACGGTCGGTAGGTCCAACTACCAACAATGCTGGTCATCCATAGATCTTGTCAAAGAGTGGGTGAATGGGGGTCTCTATCAATGGTCACGGACTACAGACTGTCGTCTGACATACGGACCGTAAGTCGTCCGTCGTCCAAGACTTAACCAATTTTTCTAGGCTGATGTTTTTGGGAGTTTCTGATCTCATAGACGGTTGTGCAGGACGGAC